TTCTGCAGGAGAATTCTGTGGCAGACAGTGTGAAAGGCTCTGCTGAAGTCTCGGTAGACTATGTCAGCAGCTTTTCTTTCATCCACCAGGCAGGTCACCTGGTCATAGAAGGAGATGAGGTCAATCAGGCAGGACTTGTCTTTCATGAACCTGTGTTGGCTAGACTTGATCCCTTTGGTGAGGCTTGTGAAAAGAGATCAGCAGAGAAGGGACAGCTAGTTGTCAAAATCCCTGTGCTTAGTGAAGGGGACAAAAGGAAGTCCTGTTATGACTTTTTTTTGTCTATGGGTTGGCTGTGCCTGTATATTACAGTCCATCTCCAATTGTCAACAGCTTAGTACTGTAATGCTTATGTCACTAGCTTGGATGTGTTTGGCGTGTTTGGCACTGTTATTGATAAATCTTGTGTAAGCCTCAGGAAGAAAATCCTCTCTCTGCAAGACCAAGGAGATCTCACTGCCCTGGTACACTTTTCCAGAAAGGTGACACAAACTTTCAACAAATACTGATATGATGTGATTTCTAAGTAAATGTTCATGAGCTACCGTAGAAGAAACCATGATGCAGTCTCAAATTTTACTTCAGAAATCAGTTCAACTTCTTTAAATGAGCCCTGCTGACTAGTCCCCTGACAAGGGACTAGCACATCATCTTTCTCCCACCTTATAAGACATCTTTTTGATGAGCTTTATGAATTAAGGCGCAGTTGGTCAAGTCCCAGGCAAATTAGTAGATACTGCTTTTCTGGACCTTTTGGTTTTATTCTAGGTGTGGTTCCTCGTGTTTCTGATTTCTTCAACTCTTTCCCCTCCTGAAAGGAAGTCAAGAAGAGTAAGAGAGGCATTTCTGAGGTGGAAAAAATATGGAACTTCTTGTAGGTTTTGAGCTGAAAAATACTTGGGTGGATGGGAGAGTAACCCAGCCGGCTCTAGTTGATCTTGTTTTGATTTGAGCAGGGTGCCCAACTAGGTGATCTCCACATGTTCCAACTTCAGCTATTCTATGGTTATGTGAAAATAAATACTGCCCCACTCTTTTCAATTTTCTGTTATTTTCATGGTAAAAATTGTACTAATCTAGAATCCTGCAATGGTTATCACAGATATTTCACATTTGCAGTTGTTGTGTTTTTAGTCTGTGTCTGTTTGGGAAAAGAGAGATTGCAGAATTATTTTCTCTGCTGTGAGGTTAGCTGGAGGTAATCTGTATAGAGCTGAATGTTGATAGAGTTTCATCACCTAGAAAGCCATCTTCCTGTTTGCTCTGAGCCTCCTCCTTCCAGACGGTCTTTCATAGTTGTTTCGATTCTGAAGATGTAACAGGGATCTTGGCATCATCAGTGCCAATGCTCTTGTGCCTGTTCTATGTCAGGTTTTAGTTTCTGCATTGAAACCTTAGCGGTGAAGCTTTATAGAAGGCAGCTGCTAAACATTATTCTGTATCATGGGAAGAGAGGAAAAATGTTCTGTTCTGAAATGTGTTTGGCATTGGAGTTGGGTGTTGTTGGTACAGTCTGTAGAATTAGATGGCTCAGTGATCGTTATTTAAGTGTGGCATGGTTTGCTCCACATGATAAACCTCCTTAAGAAGTCCATTGGGAAGGCTTTAGGAAGATATTCCTCAATATGGCAGCTCTGGGGAGCGTGTGCATGTGCTGAGCTCCAGCTGGATGTATCAGACACACAGGGCTGTTTAAGTGTGTTGCTGCTCATCGCTGTCCTCAGCAAATGGTGGGACTGGGAGAAACTCATTAATCCTTGTGCCAGTGTTTCAACGAGAGGATCTTCCAGTCGGATGGGCTTGTTCTTAAACCTTGTTCCTAAAGAAGTCACAAGCTTGCCAGCCATGTGTTGTAAAGTGGCTGGGGGAGTTGTGCTGTGGATGTTTGCTGGTATCACCGAGGTGCTCTTGGGCCTCAAAGCAATCTTGGGGTAAAGTTCAATCCTCATCACTTTTGGCCCTCCTGTTGTTATTGTGGTGCCCCAAGGACTATAGGTCTAGGAGACAGGTAGGAGAAGCCCTGATGAGGGAAGTTTTGAGTATTGCTGAGAGGCTTGACGTAGGTCTTGATCTGACCCAGGTGTGCGGAGAATGCGAGAGATGCAGATTGTTCTCATGATGCTTGGTTACTGGAGTCCTTTTACTCTCTCATCGGTTTCTGGAGGTTGTTTCTGAGATGCTGATCTTTCTAGTGGTGCTCTGGCTCTTATTTCTGCTTTGGAGGGTTGCTGGTGGAGCTGATGGTCAGGGGAGGCATGCCCATGCTGGTTTGGGTTGTTGGCAGTATGGCATACAGAGGATGGAGCAGTAATGCAGTCAGGAGCATTTGGTTTGGAAGCTTATGGTTGAAAGGCTCTGTAGGTAAGTAATCTGCCCCTTATGAGACATAACCGAGTCACTGAAGCCGTGGGGGAGCCGCTGTGTGCTCCACGTACAATGTGACATAGGCAAATGCACCTGAGCTGGGAAGGGTTAATGCATCCTTTTAAAGAACTGTTGTACATTGATATGAACAGATCTAAATCTTGCTAGTATTTTGTAACTTTTTGTTCATTGTTTTGCATGATACTTTCAAAACCATAGTTTTGGACCTGAATGCCGATTTCCTATGTGTTTAACAAGCTTGCTGTATCATAAAGCTTTTAATCTATTTTTTAAAAAAGCTAAAAGCTTCTTAACTTATATTACAATTTCACCATCTTAAAAGTATTTTATAACTACTGCTGTCCTTTGATTTGTTTCCATTTTATTTCTATTATCTTGCAGCATCTTTTATCCAAATTCTTCTTTCTTATAAATCTTGTAAGTAGGAACAAGTAGCTTTTCCTTAATTGCGGTCATGCTTTTCTTTTCCCATAATCCCATCTTTTATTTGTAAATTCATTCTCATTGTCTCTTGTAGCTTTTGCACTTTTACTTGAAAAAGACAAGTAATTTTTTTGTGTGTGTTTTTGAATGGGGAGGATTGTTGGCAAAAGCAAATTAATCTGCCTGAATCAGTCCCATCTTTTATGTACTTTAGTCTGTGATCATGTCATGAGTTTCAGGACTTTGCACTAACCATGTTTTTTTTACTTAAAGCTTATTTTACAGACCTAGTGTTTGATTTGTATGCATTGTGCATGTAGTGTTTTTTTCCAACTACAGTATATTGCTGGATAGCTTATGCAGGACAAAAAATGGCTCATGGGAAGATGCATAAAGATTTGTGCTTATTTACTACTTACACTGTGAAAATTTCTAAGGTAACAATAGGTCAAACAATGAATTTACAGACAAAAATTAACAGGAGGCACTTGTCATTGGAAAGTTTCTTTTTAAAAGAAACACAAACAAGCAACAAAAACTAAATCCAAACAAAAATCTTATCCATAAATGAAAAAGTATTCCATACAACCATGTGTTCGAGTCTTTGTTTGCAAGACTGACTGTGAACCTGATATTCCCAAGTATCCCAGGCGTGAGATAGAGCAGGTTCTCTGGTTCTGGTAGTGTTGTTAGCTTGATTCATTAGGAGCACACATTATTTGTTCTCTTTGGTTTTGTAGCTCGTAAAATGTCTGAAGGTCAGCATAGTCTTAGCTAAAAATGAGAAAGAAAATGCTGCTTCTGCCATTAGTATTCCAAGATTGAATTTTTTACAGTTTTGTTTTTTTTCCTATCTCCTTGGACATTGAGGGCACTACACACAGACTTGTTTTGGTTGCCATTTTAGAAGAAATGAAGAAGCCAGCAAGATGAGTAGCCTCTTGCAGCCTATATGTCTGATACTGATGTGTGAAAGGTGTACTGGAAAAAAGATCTGAATTGGATTGAGTCAGACTGGCAGAGCCATCCTGCAGGAACAGAGCACAAAGCCAAGCAGGGTCACAGAACCTTGGGTTGGGAGGGACCTTAAAGATCATTGAGCTCCAGTTCCCCCGCTGTAACCAGAACCCAGAACCCAGTCACCTGTGGGGATGGTGGTCTTTCGAGGTGTCTGCAGAGCACGGTGTGTGTTAGCACACAGGGGAGGCCTGCCCTCCTGGCAGCTTCCATCTGAGGAAGAGGGGGACCAAAGCAGGAGAGTGGCTCTCAGCAGATTTCCTTCTTACAGTGGGTCCTTCGGAATGCTTGGATTTTTTTCTTTTTTTTAAATTATCATTTATGCAACATAATTGGATCGAAGTAGTTTGATGTTCAGAGCAAGATAGGTGATCAGTCAGTTGCAAGTAAGCACTTGTGTGGAGGTAGGAGTGATGGCACAGTGAAAAAGTTTGATGGTGTTTTAAGAGTGCAAGGAAAGTCATTTTCTGGAGATGAGAACAAGGCAAGGAAGATCCTTGTCCTCTGAGAGGATAGGGAGGTATTGCTGGGTAAAGGAGACACTTCCCAACACAAAATTGGGATTAACTTCAGAATATGAAGGTCAATTGTTGCAATCCTTTCAAGGACAAAAGTTAGTTATAGCCTCAAATAGTTCCTAAACAGAGGCACTGACTCAAATGCAGTGAACTAACAGCTTCATGATAACTGCTAAATTGGACTTGATCTTTGTGTCCAGGATCCCATGAGCCTATTATATATGTTAACAAACACAGTGAAATGCTGTTTTTTCTCTTCTCAGCTATAGCAACTCAAGCTAGTGTGGAGTTTCGCCGGAAAGGATCCCAAATGTCCACAGATACAATGGCTTCCAACCCTTTGTTTGATGCCAGTGAATTCCCAGACAACTATGAAGCAGGAAGGGCAGAGGCGTGCGGGACACTGTGTAGGATATTTTGTAGCAAGAAGACTGGGGAGGAAATATTACCAGCTTACTTATCCCGGTACTAACCTATCTTTCAGTTGCTTTATTGGTGTAATTTTACAGTGCAAAGGAATTTGCAGTGCACAGCATTCAGTTACTGTCTGAATCCTGTGCTGCCAGCTCTAAGAGTGTGGTTCGCCTGCACATGGCACAGACTGAGCTCTCTCTGTAAACTGAGCATTGGCTTTGTCTTCTCACAGTGCTGGTTTCCATTGGGCTTTCTTCAAGCTCTAGTTGAGGGGAGGCCCTCCAGCAGCTGGAGGGAACTTCTGTGGTCTTTTTGACACTTGAAGGTTTTTAAATTTGCCATCAAATGTTGGTAGGATGGACAGAAGTGTGCAGATGTAAGACTGTGTTTTGTTAGACTGCGAAGGGTGTTACGTTGTCAAGAAACACTAGAATGGAGTATATATTTTTTAATCGTTTTTACATACAGAAGTGCATTAATATTCTATTATTTATATATATATATATATATACATATATTTATTTATTTATTTTCATCCTGAACTACTTTGATTTTCAGTTTAATTTCTAGTAAGGCCATCCTGCCTATGATAGTCTTGGTTTTTCCAACTTTTTTGGTGAAAAAGTAGAAAAAGCCAGAGGCAGATGATCAATTTTATAAATAATAACTCTCTCAAACTGTTCAATTACCTTTACCATAGGAGGCATCAAAACTTCTGGAGGACTGAACCATTTTATTTCATATGGTAGTGCTGTATGCACTAGATGGTCTGTTTCTCTTACACAGTCAGATTCCTCTGTTTTGTTAAGTTGTAAAAGGTTTTTTATGGTTTTTTTTTTTTTTTTTTTTTTAATACAAATACCCTTTAACCTAAAACCTGTAGAGGAATCTAACTACTATAAGAGATGAAGTACCTTGGGATGATGGCCAGCTACATAAGATGCTTCACATCCCTCTGCTTTTTCATTTGAAATAGCTGATTTATGTTTTCCCTCTTATTTTCCAGATGTTAGAATTGCTGTCACAGTCCTATTCCCCCCCCAAGGATTTTGCAGTATTTTTATTCTGTGCTAGGGAATTAGAACCAGGGTCTCATTTACACCCTTACATGGGGCAGGTGGTAGCAGGAAGCACTGTTAGCACACATCTGTCTGTAGCTGCAGCAGCTCCCAGCCCCTGAGCTGCAACAAGGCAGATGTTTCAGCAGAATGGTGCTCTGCTGGCTTTTCACATATAGTATGTGTGATTAGTGTGGCTTTTTTTGAAAGCTAGCAATGTGCACTTGCCTGTGCTAACATAACTTTGGGGAATGCTCAGAAAAACTTCTCTCAGCTCTGATGTTTAAGCTGTTCTATGTAGAAAAGATCTAATTGTTGCACATTCATGTTCATGTCGGATGCTGATACTTTTTATGTGCAAATAATTCAATCTTATCTTTCTTTGTCAGATTTTACATGCTTTTAATTCAGGGTTTGCAGATAGCAGATTTCGTTTGCCACCCCGTTCTTGCCAGTGTTATTCTGAACTCCCCTCCTCTGTTCTGCTGTGACCTGAAAGGAATTGATGTCGTGGTTCCGTATTTCATTTCGGCTCTTGAAACTATTTTACCCGACAGGTAAAATGCTGTTTGCCTATAGATATTATCAGAAATATGGGGAGATGTTTATCTTCTGGGGTTTCTGTCATTCCTGGATGGCTTTCACTGGAGTTCTGTAATGTGGGCCCCATGCTGTGTGTGTATGTGATAGTGATAACAGCAGCATTTCATAAGTTCTGACTTTTCATTTCATTTAATGCAATTATCCTTAAAGTAGTAGCAGCCCTTTTTAAAAATGAGAATGTTTGAGTAGTGTTATCTAAGTATTCATTATTAAAAAACAAGAATAGGGAAAAGAATACATTTAGAGCTGACTTATTTCTAAGGAGAGTTTTACAGCATGTTCTATACTGGATGTTACTGCAGTGACTTTATTCAGAAAGCAACTTTACACACCACTAAATGGAAAAAAATGATCATTTAGACAGACTAGAGAAGTTGGAGTAGGTTCCTAAACTAGAATATATGCCCTTGTTTGTACAGATTTCTGCATATTTTGCTAAATAACTTAAGGCACTTACTACTGCTGTGCCTGCCTTCTTCTCCATATGTTGTATGCACTGATGGTGCATTTCAGTTTTAAGTTATGCATAAACTACTATTCATCTTCTGGGCTTAAGTCTGAGCTGCTGCTTCTTGTAGGTGGATCTTACAAGCAGAATTTACTCGTGGCTTCATAAGAAATGTGATCTATTTCCAAGCAGAGTGTATTTTATACAAGATGCACACAAGCATATTCTGGGGATTTCTGGTAGAGCTGGGTTGGTGGGATTTGCAGTAAGCACACAGAGACTTGTGACTGGCCCTTCCTGCCTTGAGGATGCAGAATATGAATAAGACTTTGGTTTGCTTAATGGTTCAGTGCAAAACAGTTCAGGCAGGATTTCATAATTTGCTAATTGTTTCATTGCAACTGCTATAAAATAAGAATCTTGAATCTAGGAAGAAATAGCTACATTGGATATTTCAAGTTATTTAAGACCAAGGGGTGGCTGTATATTTAATTTTCACTTAGGTTTGGCTTCAAAATCTTATGAAAAGTTGATTAATTGTATGGTGCTTTGATTTGCAGAGAACTCTCAAAGTTTAAAATCTATGTAAACCCCACAGAACTAAGAAGAGCTTCAATTAACATCTTGCTGTCTTTGTTGCCTCTCCCTCATCATTTTGGAACTATAAAATCGGAGGTAATAACCTTACGGCGTTGTTTTACATGTTGAATTTTGTCTTTTGGGTTGTGGAGTGGCATTTGGGTGAGGTGAGTTGGAGTATTTGGCATTCTGTTTAGCCCTGAAACTCTTAGCACAAGTTTGACAGGAGTAATTTGTGCTGTGGATACTGACTTTTGAAAGCAATGCCATGCTGGTGTGTTTAGTGTAAATATGGCATTGATTTCTAATTGATACTGAAATAAATTCATTGTTCCTTCAGGTTGTCCTGGAAGGGAAATTCAGCAATGATGACAGCTCAACGTATGATAAACCAGTAACCTTCCTTTCCTTGAAGCTGAGGCTTGTGAATATACTTATAGGAGCTTTGCAAACTGAAACAGATCCCAACAACACTCAGATGATACTAGGTAATTTCAACATTTTTAATTTATCAATTGTGTTATGGAAGTGTCTTCATCTCTCCAAGAATAATTCGGTACATTCATGGGATACTTTGCAAGAAAAAGGTGAAATTCCTGTCAGATCGTCTTCTGTATAATCTCCCTCATACTCTCAAAACATCTTTAAAGCCTCACATTTTTGTTAAGTAATCTCTCTCTACCATTCTAAATGTAATCTCTACCATTCTAAATGTAGAATGGCGCTTGAAAAGTAAAAATAGAATTAAAGCATGTTCTAGCAGTAGAAGTCAGTCATAACTCAGAATGGAAATAGGAAGAAATGTTCTAATATTGCTAAAAAATCTTGAGTAATGGGTTACAGGGAACATTTCAGTTTTTGCCATGCTTGAGCCTAGAAACAAATTGAAATATGGGGTAACAAGTACTCTAGCACTGGCAGAGTACAGATGGTATTTGTTCAGCACTGTGTCAATCCTTGCAGAAAAGCTCCAGCATACAGTCTGCAGATACATCATGGTTTGGCAACAAACTGTGCTTTGAGGTGGTTGGATGTGTTAAGGTGTCAGTGCTGAGGAAGTAAGTAGAAGCTGGAATCTTAAATAGTGCACAGTCTGTTAAGCAGATGTGTTTTCAGGCAGGTAAAAATTTTGTTGCCTTACACTTTTTTTTCCCTTATTTGCTTCCCTCTCATAATGTAAAACTACCTTTCTTCACATTATGGTGTCCTCAAAATAGTTACCATGCCATTTTCTTTTAACAGTTTAAAAAGCAAGTGGGTTTGCACTGGGTAGATATCTGATTGGTTCTGGAAGCCTGCCTGGATAATAGGAGAGGGAGGAAAAAGTGCATAAGCAATGAAGTGAATGGAAACAAATCCAGTCTGCAAAGTCTTTCTGAAAGCTGTTCTTTCAAGACAACTCTTGAAACCTTTTCTGTACAAGCAGAAGACATGGGGATAATAATTTTAAAGGATGATTTGCAGCCAGTGCTGCAAGTGAAGGGATGAGGATGTGTGTGGTTTCTTAGTCATGCTCACAGAACATCAGTGCACATGTGGCTGTATCAGCTGTAGGGTGAGTGATGTTCTGTTAAATCCCACCCATGCGTTCTTATATGCCTCCACTAAAGGTTGGTGCCTGCATGCCAGCTTTTCAGATACTCTGCCTATGATGTTTTTGTACCATTACCTGGCTGACAGACCTTACTGCTTTGTTTCTTCAATTTTCCTACTGTTCGCTACACATGTAAGAGGAGTTTATGTCCTGCTGGCTTTGTTTGGAGAGGATTCTTGAGTCTGTAGCTCAGCCAGAGATTCTTGCATGTGCCACCATCTCTTAGAAACATTGGTGCTTATTTCCAGCTGCTTTTTAAATATTTGACAACAACTGGAGTGTTTCCCTTCCTATAGCAGCTGTTGCTCTCCTAAGCCCTCATGGCTGTGCTGGAGAAAAAATAATGCAGCTACAGGCTGTGTGTACCACTTGACATAAGGCATCCAGAATACATCGTCACTTTTAGTTTACCTGTGTGTTACTCTTGTTTGTAGCTCTCTCTCCCAGGCTGGATTTTTCTGTCTACTTGCTGTTTGATTTGAATGCAGTAAAAAATAAAAAAAATAAAAAGGCATGAAAATGTGGGTCCTGGAGATCACTTGTAGGTAATGAGTTTTGGTGGATCGTGCCTCTGACCTCCTGATTTTGGAATTTGGTGTAATGTTTTTGCTAAACTGAAATGAAATTTATATTTACTTTAATAATCTGAGAGTGTGGAGGGTGGTGTTGGAAACACTGGCGTAGATTTTGGACAGAAACATCTCTGTAAGAATGCTTGTGCTAGAGTGGATTTGTTGTTCATTTAACGGGTCCTTGATGATTGATTGTGATGAGAATGACTGTGGTCTCATTTCGATGTCTTAAGGGTTGCTGGATGGAGCAGATATTACCTTACCTTCCAACAGGCTGCTGCCTGTACTGACAGCCCATTAAGTAGTGAAAGCACGTTTCTGTTTGCCAGTTACCAGGTGCCTTTTGGCTCTTAATGGCCAAACTGAGGAAGGGAGGGTCCTTGTGCCAGGCACAGAGAGGAGCCCAGACAGTACTGTGTAACCCTTAAGGTGGCTTTGGGTTACACACAGTGCACTTTGGCTGTCTGTTACCTAACAAATGCTGCTTTTTTACTCACAAAATCAGTAAACCTCTTTAAATGTAACCTGAGTTTTTAAATGAGCACAATCTGCTGGGAGACAGGGAAACATTCCAGCCCTTCTGTGAAACAAGAATCCTTCAGAACTGAGGAATTCAGGAAACCTGTGTTCAAAGTGTTTTTAAAATAGCCAAAAGAATTCTCTATCTCAGCTCTCATCTGCATCAGATTGCTAAGCCTGGAACAAATCCTTCTGCTTTATAAAACTCTTATAAAAGCTGTGTATAAATCAGGAAGGAGATTCTGGATGCTTCGGCCTTCAGTGCTTCTCTACATTGTAGCTGTAATTATTCTACTGTGGTTTTTAGTTACCTCTTACATCTAATTCTTCAGGTGCAATGTTGAATATTGTTCAAGACTCAGCACTGTTAGAAGCCATTGGCTGCCAAATGGAAACGGTAAGATTTGTTTAGTTGTTGTTAATGAAGTTATTGCTTCAGAAAAAAATGTGATTCATTTTATCTATCTTTAAATAAGTTCAGTCCAGAGGTCTGATCCATCTGAAAGTATCCTTTGTTATAGAGAATTCTGTTCAGAAGATCTTCTCTTTACTTAAAACTGACCTTCAGTTTCATAGAATCATTAAGGTTGGAAAAAACCATTAAGATCATTTAGTCAGCCCATCATTTAGTCATGCCCACTAAACTATGTCCCTCAATGGACAGTGACTCCAGCCCCTTCCTGGGCAGCCTGTGCCAATGCCTCACCACTCATTTTAACAAGCTTTCCCTAATATCCTACCTGAACCTTTCTTGGTGCAACTTAAGGCCATTACCTCTCATCCTATCACTAATCAGCTGGGAGAAAAGGCTGACTCCCACCTCACTATAACCTCCTTTCAGGTGGTTGTAGAGACCGATGAGGTTTCCCCCGAGCCTCCTCTTCTCCACAATGAACCAT